CAGGGTTTCCGAGGGTGTAAATCTTTACGGGAGTAGAAAGCCTCATCTTTCTCCCGCGGAGCGGCTGATAGTTTCGAACCGCTGACCTTAAGGTTCACAGTCCGATTCGTAACCACTACGCTACCAGAGCTCCATACATATAGATGTCATTAATTTGTCATTCCTTATCAGTGTCTTAATTAGCTGAAAAATATCCAAAAATAAAAGCAAAATGAACTAGAAAGCATGTGTTACTATGAACCTGTAGATCAGAAACTTGAGGAGGAACTTACGTTCGTTCGTTAGTTCTAAAAAGTTAGTGTAAAAGTATATATGGTCATTTATGATTTATAGTCTCTGGTATGGCACTGTAGGATAAGCACTGGACGGCTAACCATAAGGTTGGTGGTTCTACCCCACCAGCTGCTCCTTGGAAACTTTATACAGGGTCGCTATGAGTTAGAACTGATTGTTGGTGGTGAAAAGTACTGTCCTTGTAGTTCAAACGGACCTTGTGATCCAGCGCTTTATTCTAGAGCACTACACCAGGATTCCTTGAACTGAGTAGATGGCATGTAACAACAACAATGTTGCTTTTTAATTGTTTAATGTGACTTTTATCTTCTCTTCAGTGTTAGGTTACTTGGGCAGAGATAGTATCATATGTTTCTTGTGTATTCTTCAGTGATTAACACAATACTGGGGACACACCAAGCACTTAATAAATGCTTACTGAATGAAATGAGGTCACAAGGGTCATTTGAAAGGAAGCTTCTGTCAAAAGAAAATACAACGATGAGAATAAGAGTGGAAGGAAAGCTTGAAAAAGGGATGATGTGATAGAAATGTTTTAGTAGGGTCTTTGCTTTGAGGCTATTATTTTGGGGGGTTAATATAAAGAATCAAAATCCTTACCATCCTTCATCATCTTCTACTTCTGCTTCAGAAATGTCATTTTCAGGAGTTTCAGCAATTGCTTGAGTGAGTTTAGATTTAAACTGGTTCAGCAGTGCAAGGGTCTGAAATAAAAATTAGACTGCTAAATTTTATGATAAAGATTTAATTTTCACTGAAATACTTACATTGATTAGAAGAGAAAATATTCTACCAGAATGTAAACTACTTAGAAACAAGTCTCATTTTGAAAGAAAGCAACAAAAATGCCTTCAAGCTACAACAGTAATATTCAAGTCTTGACATGGCCTGTTTGGATCTGGACTAAAATTTTTCCTTAGATAGAGGTGAGCATTTTCAGAATTAGGGAACATACATTTACTTATATTGTTACTGTTGTTAAGTGCTGTTGAGTAGGTTCTGACTCATAGGGACCCTGCATAGGGTTTTCAAGGAGTGGCTGGTGGGTTTGAACCATCGACTTTTCAGTGAGTAGTCCTCTGTTCATCCTATAGTGCCACAACAGGACTCCTTTGTTTATATAGAAGATGCTTACATTTTAAGATGCATACTATATATATATATATTTTAAAGGTTTTTATTATAGATTGAGTGAAAGTTTACAGGGCAGATCATCATTTTTACATTCAACAAATCATACACCTTGTTTTATTACAATGATAATAATCCCTTCCATGTACCATTAGTTAACAGTATTTCTCTCTATTCACTTTAGCTTTTTTTTTAAACACTCAGGCATACGTAATAATTTACACCACCAAAGGGCACATTCTGCAAGTATGCCTCCTGGCCGCCATCTCTTAGTTCCTCTCTTCCCATGAAGCTAGAGTCCTCAGCTGCTCCCTCTCTCCATGTCCCCATCTCTGCCTCCATCTCTGATATCACTGCTTCTCTGGATAAGCACATTCCACTTGTGCTCTTCTCCCTTGATGGTCCTAGGGTCCTTTGTTTCAGGACTGTAAGATTAACTACTCTCCCGTTTTTGATATAAAACTTCTACTTTTACAATTAGTCATGCTAACAATTACTCACAATTGAATCATAAGAATCTTATCCCCATCTCTTTTAACCAGACCCATCTAGTCAAGATGAACACTATTCAGTGGGGACTCTTTCTTCCCCACATACTCTTAAAAATAAATTCCCCCTGAAAAGTTGTAAGCCAGTCACTTTGTGCCTTTATTGCCCCCTCATTTTAGGTAGCCAGTGTCTGAGTTGCCCCTCCCTATCTACCTTGTGTACAGAGGGGATAGCATTGATACTTGATGTGAAGACTCCTTCCCTCTCTGTTGGTATTTAGACTTACTAACTCCCTCCATGAGTATAAGTCAAGTTCAGCAAATTCTAGCAATTTACCCTCTTTTCCTTTATCAAAAATTGTTTTGTTCTTTTTTTTAAATTTCCTCAAGTCGAGTTTGGATTATCAAGCCATCAAGGCTAGGTCAAATGGGTACTATCTGCAATTTTGGGTGTTCTTGTGCTCCTCCTCTCATTTCACATTAGCTGATGCTTCACTCTCAGCTATAGCCCTCTGTGGCTATGTCCTTGACCATAGGCTCAGGTGTCCCCAGGTATCACCACATTTTGGACCCACCAGCCCTTTCCTCTTCTCTCTCTCATTTCCAGGTCAATGGGAGTCTGTGGAACATGGTTGAACTCAGCCCATTTCTTCATTGCTTCTTTTCCCCCTCTTCCACTCACCAGTAGACCAATGTGGGCGTCAGCAAGCTTACATGGATGCATGCTTTTAAATAGTTAAATTTGAAAGCTCCTCAAGATACAGAGTCATTAAATAAGAGATGTGAAATGAAAACCAAAAAATAGTATTAATTCCATTTACTCTATTGCCCTCCTCCTCCCACAAAATACATATATAAAAATAATGTTGGGAAAGGTAGAATGAATGAACACACTGACTGTTAGAAGATGGGTAAACTGGAATGATATATTTAGAAAACTTTCTAACAATATATATCAAAATCTTTAACATGATTATAGCCTCTAATTCAATAATTCCAATCCCAGAAATATATAGAAAATTGAAACATGATGAATAGCACCAAAATACTGTCAGATATAGTACTGGAAAATGAGCCCCTCTGGTTGGAAGGCATTCAACATATAACAGGGGAAGAGCTGCCTCCTTAAAGTGAGGTGACCATGATTAAGTGAATGGAGTAAAGCCCTCAGGACAATTGTTTGCTGATGGGGCACAATTCAAAATGACTAGAAATAGCTGTAAACATCCAATAATAATCAAAACATGGAATGTACAAAGTACGAATCTAGAGAAACTGGAAATTTTCAGAAATGAAATGAAATGCATAAACATCGATATTGTTTGTTGTTGTTGAGTGCTGTTGAGTTGGTGCTAACCCACACAGACCCTGTATAAGGTTTCCAAGGAGCAGCTGGTAAGCTTGAATCACCAACTTTGCAGTTCTAACGACTCTACAGTCCGGTGCATTAACCCACAGTGCCACACCAGGACTCCATCCTAGGCATTAGTGAGCTGAAATGGACTAGTATGGGCTGTTTTGAATCTGACAGTGACATGGTTTACTATGTCAGATATGACAAATTGAAGATGAATGGTGTTGTATTATCATAAAAGAACATATTAAGATTTGTCTTAAGGCATAATGCTGTCTGTGATAGGATAATGTCCACATGGCTACAAAGAAGATGAGTTAATACCACTATTACTCAAATTTATACACCAACCACTACAGCCAGTGATGATGAAATTGAAAAATTCTACCAATTTCTTCAATCTGAAATTGATCAAACATGCAATCAGGATGTATTGATAATCACTGGCGATTGGAATGTAAAGGTTGGAAACAAAGAGGAAAGATCAGTAGATGGAAAATATGGCCTTGGTGACAGAAATGAAGCTAGAGATTGCAAGTTAGGATTTTGCAAGACTAATGACTTCTTCATGGCAAATGCCTTTTTAAAACAATCTTATCAGATGACTATACACCACAGGAACATCACCAGATGGAGTACACAGAAATCAAATTTACTACATCTGTGGCAAGAGACAGTGGATAAGCTCAATATCATCACCCAAAACAAGACCAGAGACAGACTGTGGAAGAGATTATTACTTGCTCATATGCAAATTCATGTTGAAGCCGAAGAAAATGAAAACAAGTTCATGAGAGCTAAAATATGACCTTGTACACATCTCACCTGAATTTATGGATCCTCTCAAGACCATATATGATACATTAAACACTATAGATGGAAAACCAGAGGAGTTGTGTGATGACATCAAGAACATCATACAGGAAGAAAGCAAAAGGTCATTGAGAAGACAAGAAAGAAGGAAAAGACCAAAACTGATGTCAAAAGAGACTCTGAAACATGCTCTCCAGCATAGAGATACAAAAGCAAATAGAAAAAATGAGAAGGCAAAACAGCTGAATAGAAAATTTAACAGGTCAGTTCGAGAACAAAAAGTCAAATACTATAACAAAATGTGCAAATACTTGAGTTAGAAAACCAAAAGGAAAGAATATACTCAGCATTTCTCAAGCTGAGGAAACTGAAAAAAATTCAAGCCTTGACTTGAAATATTGAAGGATTCTATGGACAAAATATTGAATGATGCAGAAAGCATCAAAAGAAGAAGGAAAAGGAATACACAGAGTCACTGTACCAAAAAAAAAAAAAAAAAGGTAGATGTTGAACCATTTCAAGAGGTAACATATGATCAAGAGCCAGTGGTATTGAAGGAGGAAGTCCAAGGTGCACCGAAGGCACTGCAAAGAACAGGCACCAGGAATTGATGGAATACAAATCAAAATCTCTCAACAAACTGATTCAGTACTGAAGGCACTCACCTATCTATGCCAAGAAATTTGGAAGACAGCTACATGGCCAACTGACTGGAAGAGATCCATATTTGTGTCCATTCCAAAAAGAAGTAAACCAATGGAATGCAGAAATCATTGGACAGTATCATTAATATTGCATGCAAGCAAAATTTCTCCAAAGATAATACAAAAATGACTGCAACCATAAACTGACAGAGAACTTCCAGAGGTTCAAGTTGGATTCAGAGAGGATGTGGAATGAGGGATATATCATTGATGATGTCAGATGGATCTTGGCTGAAAGCAGAAAATACCAGAAAAATGTTTATCTGTGCTTTATTGACCATGCAAAAGCTTTCCACTGTGTGGATTATGACAAGCTATGGACACCATAAGGGAGAATGAGTATTCCAGAACACTTAGTTGTGCTCAGGAGGAACCTGTAACATACTCCAAGAAGCAGTTGTTCAAATAGAATAAGGGAACACGGAATGGTTTAAAATTAGGGAAGTTGTGCATTAGAGTTGTATTCTTTCACTGTACTTATTCAATCTGTATGCTGAACAAATAATCTGAGTACCTGAATTATATGAGGAAATACATGGCATCAGGATTGGAGGAAGACTCATTAATAACCTACAATATGCACATGGTACAAGTTTGCTTGCTGATGAAGATTAATGACCTCTGTAAAGTGTTCATGAGCAGTCAGTTTGGGGACTAAGGTGTGCCTCATCCAAGCCATAGTATTTCCAATAACCTCATATGCATGTGAAGTTGGACAGTGAATAAGGAAGACTGTAGAAGAATTGATGCATTTGACTCAATGTGTTGGAGGAGAATATTAAAAGTACCACAGGCTGCCAAAAGAACAAACCAATCTGTGTTGGAAGAAGTACAGTGAGACTGCTCCTTGGAAGCCAGGATGACAGACTTTGTCTCTCATACATCGGACACATTATCAGGAGGGATCATTCCCTGGAGAAGGAAAACATGATTGGCATAGTGGAGGGTGGGAGAAAAAGAAGAAGACCCCAAAGAAGATGGAATGACATCGTGAAATCAGCAATGGTCTCAAACGTAGTAACGTTTGTGAGGTTTGCACAGGACCCGGTAGTGTTTTGCTCTGTTGTGCAAGTGGTCGTTATAAATCAGTGCCGACTCAATGGCACCTAAAAACAGCAACAGAAATATAAAAAAACCTGAATAACAGAAAATGATTTATGCACAAGGTGATCACTGCAGCATTATTTATACATGTGGAAAACTAGAAACATGTT